ATGATGTTTTGATCACAAGACTGACAGAGGATTTATGTTGGGACAATACTAAGACGTTGCTAGATTTGTTATTAGAGTGTGGTTATCGGATATCGAGAAAAAAAGCTCAATTGGTGGAAAGGAAAGTTAGATATTTGGGATACGACATTGAGAAGGGCCATTGAGCTTTAGGACCAGAGCGGAAAAGGGCGGTCCTAATGCTGGCAGAACCCCAAACAAAAAGACAACTGGGAAGCTTTTTAGGATCAGCTAGCTTTTGCTTTTAGTAGTTGGATCCCTAACTTTGCTTTGATGGCAGCACCTTTGTATGCAGCCACCAAAGGAGCCAATGTGGAACCCCTTGAGTGGAGGGGGGGGAACAGAAAAAGGCTTTTAAAGACATAAAACTTGCATTGACTCAGGCTCCAGCTCTGGCTTTACCGAACTTGCGGAAACCTTTTAATCTGTACGTAGACACTAATAGAAACATTGCTTTGGGGTTACTTACCCAGTCTTTGGGAAGTTGGCAACAACCTGTAGCCTATTTGTCAAAATAATTGGATGGAGTGGCCAAAGGCTGGCCCCACTGTTTGAAGGTGCTGGCTGCAAGTGCAGAATTGATTCAGGATTGTAATAAACTTACTTTTTCTTGTCCTATACTCGTGCATTCCCCTCATGCGGTGCAGTCTGTGTTGGATATGGAGGGACATTTGTGGATTAGTGGGCAAAAGTTGACAAAATATCAGGCAATTATGAGTGAGAATCCACAGCTGCGTCTGGTGGTGTCTAACCGATTAAATCCAGCAGCTTTGTTGTCTACGGAGTCTGTTTCTGAGCATGATTGTTTACAGGTATTGGAGAAGGTTTATTCCACCCGACCAGATTAAACGGATATTCTGTTGCCAAATGCGCAGCTTAATTGGTATGCGGATGGATTAAATTATGTTATAGATGGGAGGCGAATATCCAGATATGCTATTGTGGATGATGAAAAAGTGGTGGAAAGCGGTCCTCTGGGGGGTGGACATAGTGCACGGGCGGCTGAATTATGGGTATTGATATGGGCTTTAGAAAGGGCCAAGGGAGAAACAAGGGAGAAACATTGGATGTGTAAATATGTAAATATGGTAAAATAAGGTAAATATGTATGCTGGGTGGCCTGATTTAGGTCATAAAGGGGGGGGGGTTGGAATATGGAGATGGTACAAGAACTTAATAAGCAAGTTGAGAGACTCCAACGATATGTGATGGAACAAGTACCCCCTAGATTAGTAACCTAATGTCACTCATTTAAACCTGGGGACCAAGTGTGGGTCAAGCACTGGAAGAAAGAGCCGCTAGAAGGAAGATGGAAGGGACCTTTTATTGTTGTTATGATTTCTCCACTTGCTATTAAGATTGCAGAATCAAAATCATGGATCCATCGGACACGAGTCAAGGCAGCAGCTGACACCGCTGAAACGTGTCCGTGGACAAACAACATCCAACAAAACTGACATTGAAATGTGCTTAAAGAAAGCTTTTGTATTTTATATATAGGTTACTTTGATGTATATCTGCCGATGTAGCCCGCTGCAAGCTAAAAAGAGGATGGAACACCTGCCCTCTTGAATTGTTCCGGAACTCAGATCCTGACGAGAGACTGAAGATTGTTGCGGATCCATGTGGGAGGAAAATTGGGCGTGGGCACTTTGGGTAATTGGGGTATTAGCTTTATTGATCATTGTGTTTTACAGATATAAGCAATGGTTTTGTGGACAACCAAGGCCATTTGATTTCTCAGTCGTTCCGATCCCTAATGGTCCCTTCCCCAACTGGCTGCGAAGTGTGAACCTCTTACAGATGAAAGAAGTCCCTGCTTAAGACACCCTGGAAGCTGCCTTTTGATGCAAAGGAACAGAAAAGAGATTTTCTTTAAATATGCTGGTTTTGTAATTGTGGGTGTGAGTGTTGTTGTTGCACTCACTGTATATATTGTCTTTTATGTATAGGTTTAAGATAGAGTGTGCGTGAAAATTATAGAGGATGTGTTAGTACATTATTTGGTAATAGATACTGAAGAGATCCCCTTGTAATCCTTAGCTGGTATGTTACCAAAATTACTAGGACAACACAGGATACAAAAGGATTGTTTTAGTTATATTATCTGGAAATGGAAAAGCTAAATGTACCTGAAATTCCTAGCCATGTAACAAATGCCTTTGTCAAATTGGCAGAAGACATAGCCCACACTCTGAATGTATCAAATTGTTTTGTTTGTGGAGGAACTAATATGGGAGAAAAATGGCCATGGGAAGCCCAGGAATTGAACTATTCCAAAGTATTAGAAATGGAGCAAAAGGGTAACCTTTCATATAATCAGGGAAAAGATGGGGATTGGACACTTATCACCAGTTTGGTAGGGAATGTATGTTTCCAAAGGAGGACTCAAACTGAATGCAAACAGGTAGGAAACCTCATATGCATAGGAAAATGGGAAAGCAAGATATGGTGGTCCGGAAGTAATGTCACAGAGGGTATTGATGAAACGGCTCTGTTTGAGGTAAACAGATTAGCCTTCTTAGGGGATCCGGATAATCAAACCCTTGGATGGCTTGCTCCTGATGGATTGTACTGGATTTGTGGTAAACTGGCATATGGGTATCTACCTAAGGATTGGTGTGGAGCTTGTGTCCTGGGAATAATTAGGCCAGGATTCTTTATGCTCCCCCTTAAAACTCGACAGATTTTGGGTGTTTCGGTATATGATGATGTAGGTAATCAACGACAGAAAAGACATGTTGGTACATCTGCAATAGGAAGGGTTAGGACAGGAGGTATGCCTATCCTAACAGGCCTGCAGAATGAATTATAGAAGTTTATGGACCAGCTACGTGGGCGGAAGATGGCATGGAGATGGACATGGAGCATTGAACGTAATGATCTGGAGGAGTGGAGTGAAATTCTAGGGTGAGTCCCTGTCCCACTGTCTGAAGCACCCACTCGTCGGACGATGAGAATTTCCATTGGCTGAGGAAATGACTTAGATGTCCGCCAATGGGAAGTTGAGACAGTGAGTCACCTGCCTCTTTTTGCGGGCCACTGCCTTGCTCCCCTGTAAGGTCTCTTGGCATTGGGATTGTATCTGCCCTTGTCTCGAAAGGATTGACTATCGGAAGGTCTATCAAACTCCTGTGATTAAGGCCTGTAAGAATAGGACCCATTTGGTCCAGTCTCCTGCCGAAAGGACTGTCGTTGAGAATACGGGGTGTACCTACGATCCGACCTCCTATAGGAAGTGGGCAGCACCTTCCTTTTGTCCTTACCTTCCACTAAAATAGGGTCAAGGGCAGGCCCAAACAGATCAGATCCTTTATAAGGAGCTGAAGCCAACCTGTATTTAGACTTCAAATCAGCCTTCCAAGGCCATAACCTGTCACTGCGTTTCTGTATTTACCAGATGAGCTCATTATTTCTGGACTTTCAGACTTTCCGTAGCTTGCCAAGTTCCTTATCAGTAAGCTATGTCCGCATTCCTTTCTTTCTACTTCACACTTTCTTTGTTCTCCTGCCAGGAGAGGTCCGGCTGCAGAGAGGTGGCCGGCAGGAACGTTGCCAAAATGTAATTATTTAGATAGTTAGATGTTTTATTTTCTATATAACAAATAAATGAGTTTATTCTTAGAAAAAATATCTTCGGGGTTTATTTTTTTGCAAAAGTATACACAAGAAAAAAAGCCACGATCCACGTCTCTAAATCAAGGTGCGATTACCCAAAAGCAGAATGGGATTAATTAGCGCCCTGACACCTGGTAGCGGACGATGGTTGATTTATGGCTTTTTTCCTTGCTTGTTACTTTGATGATTAGACCTCTAGGCTAGTTTAGCCAGATGATTACTTTTGCGACTGCGGAACGCTGATTAATTGTCTGCTAAGATGCCAAAAAGAAGAAAAAAGGAAAAATGAAATTAAGACCACTCTTCGTAAATGATTTGATTGATTTTTCCAACGAAGAGGAGGCAAAAAGGAGGTTTTCAAATTTCCGGCTAGAGGGGGCCGTGGGAGTAGAAGAAATGGATGAAATGCTCTTACGAAGGGTTCAGAAGGAAGATAAAGGCAGAGCTGCTTTTGAAGGTAATGTGCTGCGACCGAGGTCAGTGACGCCCCCTTCCAATTATGCATGCTCTCAAACAGTCATCCCAGAACCTTCTGAATTTGTAACACTTGGTGCAGGACCAGATTTTCTACAAACTGCCGAGCATTTTTACTCCCACGCAGAGAGAGAAATAATTCATTATTCTCCTCACTGTTCCGATCTCTCCCTTCGTGAGCTAGCTGTAAAAAGCTATAGTGATCTAATCAAAATTTTTGAACAGGAGCTGTCCCAGTCAAAAATGGCTTTATCTATGCTTGAGCAAGATAAGAGAGAGTCTAGTGCTTTTAAAATCTCTGAAAACGTCATTTTGCCTTCTCCTTCGGAGCCAAAGACACACACCCTGGTGGATTTTGTGTCAGGCCAATCAGAACAGAGAGCTGTGCATACGTCACATTTGCCTTCTCAAATTACATATCATGCCAAGAAAGCAGAAAGATTACCTGAGCTGCCTAAAACTAAAGTTGCAGCACCATCTGCTGGCGAAAGTAATTACTAGAGAAAGCTGAAATGCACCGCATCTTCAGAGAGCAATTACAATTGTTGCAGAAGACTCTATCAGAGATGTCTTTAACTCACTCAGATATTCAGGCTGCAATGCCACAAGTGTCTCCACAGGCTCAATTTCCAGCACCCCCTGGTGGTGCTGGTGTCCTTTTAGATGGAACACAACAAAGTTTAATGCAGCAAAGGCAAATGACTGCGTCTCCAGCAGGCCATGTTAATATTGCAGCTCAAATGCAACAGCCTCAACCACAAATGCATGCACACGTGCCTCCAGCTGTACAACCAGGGCCAATCCCTGGTCCACCTCCAGCACAACAAGCACAGCAAATACCACACGTATTTTTACCAGCACAGCCAGCATACCAAATGTATGTTCCTCACCAGGCATTTTCTGTTGCTCCACTAGCTGATGAGTCGAAATTAAAGATGTCAGGACAGAATTATAAGGCCTGGGGTCAGTGAGATTGGATTGTTACTTCGCAGAGAAGGTACTCACTGTATGGTTTTTAATCCTCCTGCTCAGCCATGGACTCCTGCAATAAGAGACTTAGAGACTAAAGCTTGCACAACATTATTGATACTGAACTGGATGGATACTGAACTGCAGGTTACCTTTCTGCCTGATGCAACAGCCCAACAAAGTTGGGTCCAATTGGAAAATTGCTACAGGCCTGTTTCAATTGAATCTTCATGTTTGCTCATGTCTGAGTTCCATGGTTCAAGATTGAAACCTGGTGAACAAATTGGAGGACATTTAACCAAACTGAGAGGAATCAGAAGAGAATTGAGAGAAAGAGGCTATAATATTGATGATATTCAAATGATCAGCATTATTATTAACTCATTGAATTATGAATGGAAAGATGCCATTTCAAAGATTAACCAAGTGCCCATTGCTCAACGCACAGTGGACAATGTATGCAGACTTTTAATTGAAGAAGCACTAATGCTAGCCACACCACACTTGAGAGGACCACCCGCATCAAGAGCTCCAGCTAGGCATCCCTTGCGAGGAAGGACCTATGCTCCAAGGATGCCAAGATGCTACATCTGTAACCATGTGGGACATGCCACCTGGGATTGTCCCCAACGAGTTCCAGCTCCCGTCACATACCAGCCCAGAGGAACAGACTCCAGAGGCAGAGGCAGAGGCGGTAGACAAGGTTGTCGTGGTCCCCGGCATGAACCACAAGCTCCACTCGCCACATTGGCTTTAACCAATGATCCACAACCTCAACCAGAGTACGACAGATGACTCCTGTGGACTTTGGACAGTGGAGCAGCTTTGCATGTTACCTACAGAAAGGAAATTTTCACAGAGATGCACGAGCCTGAACCTGAACTACGTGAATTTTATTCTTTTTCAAATCATCCTTGTCAGGTCAAAGGAAAAGGAACTGTTTATGTTGAAGAACTCAATGCATTCATTCCTGATGTTTATTACATACCAACAGCAACCAGTAATTTGCTTAGTCAGAGTCACTTGTCTAGAGCATTAAAGTTCCAGGTTCACCACCTTGAAAAAGCAAATTACATAGTTAAAGATGGAGATATTGTTGCTGAAACCATGTTAATTGGTAGTGCTTATTACTTAAAGCCAAAGCCTAAACCGCAAACACAGGCAAGTATACAAACTCCAAAAGGGAAGAGCACAGGCCCAGAGAGAGATGCTCCAGTGAGAGATCCTGTTGCTACTCCAAAGGCTTCTAAAGCCAACAAAAAGAAAATTAGGAAACAGGTTGCTCAGAGCAAGCCTGAGGTTCCTCATAAAACTGTTAATGTTGAGAATTCACTAACTGGTAAACCTTTGCATTTCAGGTGTATCCATAAATGGCATAGAAGATTGGGGCATGCCAGTTTCCGTGTTCTTAGGAAGATGCCGGAGTTCGCAAAAGGTTTGGATCTAAAGGGGTGTAAGGTGTTTTTGGATTGTGCTATCTGCAAAAAGGCCAAATCCAAAGCAGCAGCCATTCCCAAACGCGCTACACGCCTGTCAACACACATTTTTGATTTGGTTCACACTGACATAGTTGGTCCTTTTCCGCCAACACTTGGTGGTAGAAAATATTTTTTAACAATTATTGATAATTACTCTAGATATGGATATGTATATCCTATGAAAGAAAAATCTGAGTCCTTTCAGATCTTTAAAGACTTTGCTGCTCTTTCTACCCAACACCAAGTCCGCATCGCCAGAATCCAGAGTGATCATGGTGCTGAATTCATGTCTCAGCGTTTCTAGGACTAGATGCGTAAAAATGGAATTCTTCATCAGACGTTGGCCCCTTACACACCAGCTCATAACGGGGTCGCCGTTATAACCTACTCACCGACAGTCCGAACTGAAAGTGTAAAAATTGCTTTAGCAACTGCAACTATTCTTGGTTTAGAAGTTTTCCAGTTCGATGTTGACACAGTTTATCTACATGCAGACCTAGATTGGTCGTTGCTTACCTGAACGACCCTTTTATACTCGACGTTCAGACACTCCTCAGTCTGGGTTACGATCACTCCTATTTGCACAGCTGAGTGTCAATCAAATCCCTCTGGAGCTGCATCCTCCTCTCTTCCTGCTTCCTCCTCAGACTTTTCACGAAGACAACTTGGCTCAATAGCAGCAGGATCGACCATTAGAAACTCCATCAGGTAGACACACAGGAAGCAGACAGCTACAGAGGGAGAAAAAGCAGACCTCCACCAAAGCCAGGCACGGCCAAGAAAGGGAGGGACGGAGTGTCTGAACGTCGAGTATAAAAGGGTCGTTCAGGTAAGCAACGACCATTTTCCTACTCGCCGTTCAGACACTCCTCAGTCTGGGACATACCCAAGTTAGAAAGAAAAGGGAGGGAATTAAGCCGTAGACTGGCCCTGTGGAGAGATTACAGCTTGTAATACCCTTCTGCCAAAGGCAGCATCTGTAGAAGCAAACTTATTCAGCCTATAGTGACTTACAAAGGATGAAAGGGAAGACCATGTGGCCGCCCGGCAAATATCATCTACCGAAGCCTGGGTAGCCCAAGCCGCAGAGGTTGCGGCGCTACGGGTAGAATGGGGCAATATACCACCCGGGACAGGGGCCTCTCTTAAGTCATATGCCTTAGAAATACAGGCTTTGAGCCACCTTCCTACTGTGGTTGAAGAAACCTTCTGACCCAGGGAAGAGGGAAGGAAGGACACCAACAGAGCCTCAGTCTTTCGAAAAGGGGCAGTCCTTTTAAGATATCTTCTCAATGCCCGTCTCACATCTAGAGTATGCCACCGCTTCTCAGCAGGATGACGCGGGTTCGGGCAAAAGTTAGGCAAGACGAGTTCTTGGGCTCGATGAAAACGAGTATTCACTTTGGGAACGAAAGCCGGGTCGAGGCGTAGAACAACCCGGTCAGGATAGAAGATGCAGAGATCACTTCTCATGGACAAGGCAGCAATTTCGGATACTCTGCGCGCCGAAGTTATTGCTAACAAAAAGGCCATTTTTAAAGACAAGTAGCGTAGACTGGACGAAGCGATGGGTTCGAACGGTGGACCCGTTAAGGCCTGTAACACCAAGGTAAGGTCCCAAGTGGGGTAGCGATGAATCGGTGGAGGCCGCAAGTTTGAGACCCCTTGGAGGAAGGAACGGATCCTGGGGTCCTGAGACAAAGGAACACGAGATTCTCCTGACAGGACAGTGGCTAGAGCCGCCACCTGTCGGCGTAGAGTCGCGGGGGCCAAGCCCTTGGAGAAACCCGCATGCAGAAAACACAGAATGTCCGGAACAGAAGCAGTTGTGGGGTCTACGTGATGATCCCCGCACCATCTCGTGAAGGCAGTCCATGAGGCATTATAAATACGAATCGTTGATGGCCTTCGAGCTGCCTGAATGATGGAGATAACATCGTCAGACAAATTGTCCTTGATGAGCTTTATGCGCTCAAATGCCACACGGCTAATCGAAGCCATTCTGGTTCCGGATGACGGATGGCTCCTTGAGTCAGTATTATCTTGTCTGGTGGAATCCTCCACGGTGGTTCGACTGATAAGTTCTTGAGGTCGGCGAACCACTCTCGACGGGGCCAATACGGTGCTACTAGTAGAAGGTTCGCCCGTTCGTGAATGACCTTCCGCACTACCTTGGAGATGATAGGAAGGGGAGGGAAGGCATAAAGAAGGCCCCGGGGCCACTGACTCCGAAGAGCATCCAGCCCCTCCGCTGCTGGACATGGATAGCGGGAGAAGAATCTCGGCAATTGGGTGTTCTGAGCCGTCGCAAACAGGTCCACTAGGGGAAGGCCGAACCTCCTGGACAGGTCCTGGAACAAGCTGGGGTCTAACTTCCACTCGGCGTGATCTATTTGGTCTCTGCTGAGCCAATCTGCTTCTCGATTGAGAGTCCCCGAGATGTGTTCGGCTTTTATCGACGAGAGGTGGAGCTCCGCCCATGACAGAAGACGCTCCGTCTCCTGCATCAGTGTCCAGGAGCGGGTCCCCCCTTGTTTGTTGATATGGGCCTTGGTGGCCACATTGTCCGTTAGAATCAGAAGGTCCTGGCGATATACAAGGCGTTTGAAGTGTATCAGGGCGAGACGGACCGCTCTGAGCTCTAGCCAATTTATATTGTGCAGCTTTTCCGCCGATGACCAGGCACCTTGGGCTAGCTGACGGTCGAGGTGAGCCCCCCAGCCTCGCAGACTTGCGTCCGTGGTCAACACCATCCGAGCTGGTTCGAGAAAGGGAGAACCCTTGTTGAGGGCCGGAGACAGCCACCACCTCAGGGAAAGGCGAACTGGAGCTGGAACCTTTACCTTGAGAAGAGACTCCGCTCGACCTTGTCTCTGGTAAGGGAGCAGGAACCATTGGAGGCGACGAAGATGGAAACGCGCCCACGGAACAATGTCTATGCAAGATATCAACTTCCCCAGAAGCTGGGAGAGAGACAGTAAGGTCACAGTCCGGTGTAGTAAGACTTGAGATGTCAGTTCCCGAATGCTGGCTTGTCTGTCGGGAGATAGGGAGACCACACACAGTGCCGAATCTATTGTAGCTCCGAGATGTAGGATACTCGATGTGGGAATAAGATGGCTTTTGGCAAGATTCAAAGTGAACCCGTGGTTTTGGAGGGACTGAAGTACTAGCTCCCGGTCCTGGGTCACCTGTTCGGGAGAAGACGACAGGATCAAAATGTCGTCGAGGTAGCATGCCAGACGAACAGGAACCTTTCTGAGCGACGCCGCTACTGCCGCTAGCAACTTTGTAAACGTCCTCGGAGCGGACGAAAGGCCGAAAGGCATCGCCCGATATTGAAAATGGTGGTCTCCAAACGCAAACCGGAGGAACTTCCTGTGCGACTGATGAATAGGGACGTGCAGGTACGCTTCCTTTAGATCTACAGATTGCATCAGATCTCCCCGACGAATGCAGCCCAGCAGAGACTTGAGGGAATGCATTTTGAACCGACGGTACAAAATGTGTTGATTGAGACGTCGAAGGTTCAAAATACCTCTCCAATCGCCCGAGGATTTCGGTACCAGGAATAGTGTTGAATAAAAGCCGGTTTTGAGTTGATCCAATGGAACCTGTTCTATGGCCTGGATTTGCAACAGATGGTGAATTTCGAGTAATAGAAGAGATCGCTTCTCCGGCTGAAGTGGCCAAGGGCATTGAAGGTAAAAGTCCTGTGGCATATTGGTGAATTCCAAACGTAACCCTTCGGTGACAGTTTGGACAATCCAGGCATCCGAGGTGGTAGATGGCCACAGGTGAGAGAATGCCTGGAGCCTGCCCCCGATTGGGACCAGAGGCGGTGAGTCACTTACTGCGCCTGGAAAAGCGGCCCGCCGACTGTCTGAAAGGTCGCCTGAAGTTGGATTGTCGGCGACCGCGGTCACGAAAGGGCGCCCTGTCCGAAGTTGACTGGTACTGGGACTGCGAAGATCTGTAGTAAGAGGCGCCCCCGGCGCCTTGGTCTTGTCGAAAAGGCTGTCGATTATAAGGAACATAGCGCCTGTCCTGACGTCGGAAAGACGTGGGTAACACCTTCTTCTTATCCCTATTCTCGACCAGCACAGAGTCCAGGGATGAGCCAAATAAGGCAGGGCCCTTGTAAGGGGCAGCAGTCAAGCGCCATTTGGACTTGGCGTCAGCTCTCCAGTTACGGAGCCACAAGAGACGTCTTGAAGATACAGTCGAAGCTAAGGCCCTGGAAGCGAACTTAGCTGCGTCTAAAGACGCGTCAGCCGAATATTCAGCAGCTGCGACCAGTTTGGCCAGGTCCTGCTGTAATCGTGCGTCCTCCGGGGGAAGCCTGTCCTTCAATTGACGCAACCACACCAGCGATGCCCGATTAAAGAATGATGAGGAGGTTGCAGCACGAATGGCCCAAGCTGCCGCTTGGTGTGTTTTACGAAATCCCATTTCGGCTCGTTTGTCCTCAAACTTGAGACCATCCCCAGCCTCACCTACCAGGATGGAAGACGATGTGAGACTCGCCACCGGATCATCAATTGAAGGTAACTGCAGGAGGGCATCCAGCGCAGGAGCCGAGGCATAAAGCTTTCGATCAAATGAATTCGGGCCCGACAACGAGGCGGGGCGGTCCCAAGGCTTTTGAACAACCTGGCAGAAAAGATCCGGACAGGGAACAAAGTCCTCATCAGGTTGAGGTAGATTGAACAAGTTACTGTTGGGGCCAGATGGAGTAGAAGAAGAGGAGCCCTGAAGAGGTGTGGAATCCATATTAGTGGCAGCTTTTGCCTTGCGTAGGAGAGAGCGAAACAAGGAAGGCTTAAATAGACCCGGAAAAGCCGGCTTGTCCTGAATCTCTTCTTCATCCTCTGACATCTCAAAATCTTCTAGGAAATCGTCCTCCCGGGCTGATTCAGGCACAAGGCTACAGGCAACAGATTGCTGCTGAAGTTGTGCACCAGGGGGATGCATGGAAAAGGCAGAAGTAGTGGGGCACGTAGGAGCAGAGAAGGCACCAGAGGTTTGCTGCAACCCCATTTGATACATATGGGACATGGCCTGGGTAAAAAAGGACTGAAAATCCACAGGCTGAGGGAACCCTGGGCCCGCTTCAGGGCGGAGGCCAGCTGCAGTGGGTGTAAAAGTAGCTTCAGGACCTGGCCTAGAAGCTTGAGAAAAATAGCTTGCAAAACTAGAGGAGCGGGACCTTACACTGGCCCTTGACTGATTAGTCGCAGGCATTGGAGCCTCCTGAGAGGTTGAGGGGCCATCCTCCCTCAGACCACTGGGCAACAAATCTACATTATGAGAGGCCGAGGGCTCACAGGTCACCTCATGGCTCAAGCCTTCAGGAATTGGTCCTTGACCAGGGTTCTGGGCCCGTTGCCTAGCCTTATCAAACTGCTTTTCTAATGCTTTATGCCTCCTTTGGGCATCTTTATCTACTGTGGCAGATTTGGAGGACTTTGCCTGCCTGGTAGCCTTAGATTTCTTCCCC